CTAAAACGTAGCGATTGCCCGAATCAGTGATTGGAAATGGTCCAGCGATGTCTAAGGCTATTCTCTCCCAAGGCATACCAACATTGTAGATTTTCATCGCCCCTCTGCTTCTTGTTTGTGGACCCTTGACAGCTGCACAACTAGTGCATTTCCGGCACCAATCTTCGACGTCATATTTGCAATGCAACCAATAAAACCTCTCCTTGATCTTCACCAAAGTCCTCCTAATTCCCAAATGTCCTCCAGAAGATCCATCATGGAACGCTTTTAATACATCCCTTATTTTTGAACGAGGCACCACCAATTGCAAATGCTCGTCCTTGCCGTTTGTTGATTCCCATTTCCTGCACAGAAGTCCGTTATGCAGCGTAAGGCTTTTCCACTGTGCCCATAAACCTTTCGTTACCGCGCTATATTGGGCGACGTCACTCCAACTTGGCTTGTTACCACTTCGTAGCCACTCCAGTATTGGTTTGATATCTGCATCTCTTTCCTGTTCTAATTTCATCGCATCGTCTCCCCATGCCTCGTCAACAGTATCAGTCCTTATCACCTTAAGAAAAGCAGTTTCCTTCTTGGCACAATGCTTGCAATCTTCCACGCATGGGCGTCTCGATAATGCATCTGCGTTGCCATGAATTCTTCCGCCGCGATGTTCGATTTCAAAGTCAAATTCCTGAAGTTGTTCCAACCATCTGGCTACTTGGCCTTCGGGATCCTTAAACTGAAGTAGCCATTTCAAAGCAGCGTGATCAGTTCTGATCAAAAATTTCCGTCCCAGTAAATAATTCTTGAAATGGTGCAGAGTTTTGACTACGGCCAGCAATTCCCTCCTGGTCACGCAATAATTCTTCTCCGGCTTGGATAGTGACTTGCTGAAGTAAGCAATAACCTTCTCCTGCTCACCATCGCGTTGTGAAAGGACACCTCCTATTCCAATATTGCTGGCATCCGTATCAACTACGAATATTCCTTTCGCGCTGGGGTATCCGAGAATTGGTGTGTTACAAAGCCGTTCTTTTAGTTCTCGAAAGGCTTGCTCACAATCCTCGTCCCAGATAAAGGCACGTTTCTCCTCTGTCAATCGATGCAAAGGCTTGGCAATGTCCGAGAATCCTTTCACAAACCGCCGATAATACGAGCACAATCCAAGAAATGCCCGAACTTGCGTTTTGTCTTTAGGTGTCGGCCATTCCTTAACAGCGGCAGTCTTGGCTGGATCAGTCTCAATTCCTCTCTCAGAAATAACATGTCCTAGATAATTCACTTCGCGCTTGAAGAAAGAGCATTTCTTTGGACTCAACTTTAAATTTGCTCCACGCAGCTTATCGAGTACCTTTTCCAATTTCCTTAGATGATCGTCAAAATCCCGTCCAACAATGATGATGTCATCGAGGTAAACTAGGCAAGTTTCGCCCAGCAGTCCCGCCAGCACCTGTTCCATCAAACGCTCAAAGGTTGCCGGTGCATTGCATAATCCAAATGGCATCACCTTAAATTGCCAGAGTCCCTTCCCAGTTGAGAATGCGGTCTTTTCCTTGTCCTTGGGATCCAAATCCACCTGCCAATAGCCGCTTTTCAGATCGAGCGTTGAAAACCATTTCATGCCACTCAGTGTGTCAAGTGTGTCATCGATTCTTGGTAACGGGTAGCTATCCTTCTTGGTTACATCATTCAATCGTCGATAGTCTACGCAAAACCTCGTTGAACCATCTTTCTTCTTGACAAGCACGACAGGTGAACACCAAGGGCTAGAAGAGGGCTCTATCACGTCATTTTTCCTCATATCGTCAATCATTTCTTCAACTTCTTTCTCACGAGCGAATGGTATACGTCTGGGCCTTTGACGAATTGGCATTGTATCACCTGTGTTTATTTTATGCTTCACCAAACCAGTTCGGCCAATATCACCATCGCTTCTTGAAAACACATCAGAGAATCGAAGAAGTAAATTTCTAGCTTTCATAGTCTCCACTTTTGTCAGACTTTTGTTTTCGTCTAAGATTTTCGTTACAAAGTCTATTCCCGTACTGTCCTTCTTCACAAGATTTTCCGAGCATTTTCTTATCCAGGCCACTTCTTCCAATACGCCCACAGGCTCTCCTTCTTCAATCGTAATTTCTGAATCACTGAAGTTGAATACCGGAATGCGGTTAACATCAGATGACCCCACGACAGTTCTTGCCGGTAGCCATGAATTCACGTGTTCCGTTTTATCAATCACAGCGCACCTTCGAGGTAAACTTCCTTCCCTCCTCCTAGGTAATGCGATTGGTACGAGAGTCTGTGATTTTGGTGCAAGAACAGTTCTTCTTAAACAGCAAACTTTTCCCAGGGTTCCACCCTTCATCGGAATTTCCTCAGTTCCACATAGTAATACTCCAGATTTTAAGTCGATGTTACACTGGTGCCCTTGCAGGAAGTCAAGTCCCAGGATGCAGTCATCCAGAATTCTGGCCACAATAACCTCATGTCGATAAACACGTTCCCCAATTTTGATTGTTACATGCAGTTTTCCACTTATCGGTATGCACTGGCCGGTAGCTGATTTCATTTGTAGACCAACAATTGGTTTAAGGTGTTTCCTGATGTTTTGCTCGAGCAGCCGAACATTTATCACCGTCCTTGAAGCTCCAGTATCTAATGTTAGCTGACTGTTTTTCCCATTTACTTGACCGTCTATCACCAGGGTATTTCCATCGTTAGTTTGCTTGATGTAGATTGTTGGGGTTATTCCACTACCAGCCAGCGCCCACCCCGCAGCCTTGGCTGGATTTAAGTTTCCCTGCTGGTCAGAAGTTGAGACCGCCGCGTCCTTGCGGTTCATCTTCTTCGGGCAGTCGCTCCGTATGTGCCCACGCTCTCCACATCCATAGCACATGAAGTTCCGACGGCGTGGAGGTACCTGCTCCGTTGTCGTCATTTCCCGCAGACGTAAGGTACGGGAGTTGCCACGCACGGCTTCCACTTCCAATGCATGGGCCAGAGCTTCTTTCATGTTCTTGTTATGGCCCAGATGAACAGCAGCTCGTACTTCGGGGTCCCGAATACCGTCAATGAACGCTTGGAGAAGCGTGCCTTCAATCATTGACGGAGTCGACCGGAAAGCTCGACGCACAAGTTTCTCGATTTCCACGGACCATTGCTGTAGACTCTCATTATCACGCTGAGTACGCTCTTTTAATTGCGCTCTGTACACGTGCTCGAGGTGGCTGTCTCCAAAACGTGCCTCAAGTGCGTCGAGGAGGGCACTAAAGCTGAGATCTCCACTTGCGCCGATAGCTTCCAGCACTGAGAGCGCTTGATCACGGAGGGCCAGGGTGAGGGCTGACTGTGCTTCCTTCTGAGTCCAACCATAAGCCTCCATAAGTGTCTCAAACTGTAGCTTGAACGCGGTCCAGGATGTTGTTCCGTCGTAATGGGGAATCTTGAGCCCTTTCGTTGCGCTTAAGGCCGCATTTGGGGCGTCAAAAACGGCTGCAAGACGGCTTCGGCTCTTTAAAGGGCTTGGGTTTGTCACTTCCTGCTTGATTTTGGAGATCTCTTCTTCCAATCTCTCCTCTATCGCCATGACGCGATGTTCCAACTTGCCTAAACCTTCCTCCACTTCTTGTACCCGTTTGACAGCCTTTTGCAGTCCCTTCGTGAAATCTTTATGCATGTCTTCCAAGCGACGCATTTGCTCCTCTTGGCGACGAGCTTGATCTTCTTTCAGCTCCCGCAGCTGTCCTGACTGACAGCGTGCTTGCTCTTCTTGGCGGCGCGCTTGCTCTTCTTGGCGGCGCGCTTGCTCTTCTTGGCGGCGCGCTTGATCTTCTTTCAGCTCCCGCAGCTGTTCTGCCTGACAGCGTGCTTGCTCTTCTTGGCGGCGCGCTTGATCTTCTTTCAGCTCCCGCAGCTGTTCTGCCATCATTTGCTGCAGCTGTAGCAGAAGATCCACCTGCACAGGCTTGGCTTCTGCATCGCTGGTTTGAGCTGCAGCACCCTCTTCTCTCACACGCTGCGCTTCTGACATAGCACGGGTACTCACTCCTCTTACGTCCTGCGGCACTAGCGGCATTTTTCTCCAATCCCACTTCTGACACCAAATGTTACGTGCCTGACGTCACGTTCCTAACTATGCGGGCTTGGGTTACGGGATTGGATGAAATTAAACACTAATACCGGTTTTCAGACTTTCTATTGCACTTAAGTGACAGCGTCCACGGATACGGATAAGTTATCGGCGTTCCTCTCCAGCAGAGTCCGGCCGACTGACACAACTTTGCCGTTCACTGTTCACGCTGACTTAACTCACTTAACTGACTGCACTTCACTATTTCACTGTACTTCACTATTTCACTCACTTTTCTTCTTTTCACTTCTTCCTTTTCTTCCGAATCGCTTTGGACTTAGAACTCAACTGCCAGCGGTGAGCCGCAGTTCCGCTTATATACCCCTGGTCAGGTTCTAGAACATTCAATTTCGTTATTCTTTTTGATCGTCATGCCTCCAGAACCTTCCAATAATTTCGTTATTCATTTTTATTTATTCTCCTTCTCGCTCCTTAATTTTTCATTACTTTCACTCAAATATTCCAGAAAGTTCGACAAAACTTCCATCAACTAAAAAACTTCATGTTTACGGCGGGTCTCGAACTCGGGGTCTCTGTGGTGTAATCCACACGCCTTACCGATTACACCAACTCGTGTTGACAATTCACGACGAAATTTACAATCTCTAGGCAACGTTTGACAACCATCCATTGACGTCATGATGTCAAAGAGTTTTCTGTCACAATATTATTTTAATCATTTGGGTTGGGTGCAGATTCATAAAAATAAAAATTTATTATTTTTTATAAGTTACATTAATAGACCGCACAATAATTTCGGATTTTTACTCCGGGTTAAAACGCCGTACAGTACTCTCTGACTATAATAGTTTATCTGTGCCGTGCACGGATGATTTGCTGATCTGTGGTCTGTCTTTTTTATTAAAAAAATTGACAATGACATCATTGTTTTGTTTGACATCTAAACATCTTGCGTGAACGTTGAACGATAGTATAAAATAATAAAACTGTTCAGAAAATAATTTTAAAGTTAAAAAACTTTGAATATATCTTATTATGAGTAAAGAAATAAACCGGCGCAAAGTAACTCCCGTCGGTAACTCTTGGGTAATATGTAAATCGAAATCCCATCCAGGACATGTGTATTATTTTAATAGTTTAACTGGGCAAGCAGCGTGGAATCTTAGCGATGCGGAGGTAATTTGAAATTTCCGACATCTAGGTAATGTTAGCGCAAAATGTAAAGTAGCTATAGAATATAACTTTGTCATGTTTATTTTGTAGATTGAAAAGGCAAAGCAGACAACGACTCGTCTTGAACAGTTGCCAGGTGCTGAGCTTGCATGTCCAGAACCAAAAGATAAACCACCAAGCTCTTCGTCAAATGCCGAACCGACTCAACCAGCCCTTAAGAAAAGAATCCCACCTTTCACTAATTCTCAAATGAATATAATGCCTGAACAATCATCATCACTTTTGGCGAATTTGAATATTCCTCTGAACCAAATGACAAGTATATTACAAGGCACACAACTTACTAATAATTCTTCACTAGGCCCTTTTTGTAATATGAATTTGTTAAATAACCCCACACCTACTATAAATTTGAATAATGGTACTCCTATGTTTAATCCTAAGGTTTGGGCAGTACCCCAAGCACAACAAATTTTCTTACCAACACCAATAGCTCCTATTGTAAATCAAGGTCCTAATTCCTTGAATGGGATGTACAACAACTTGGTAGAATCTACAGGACTAATTTTGGATAATTTAAACAATGCAAGTTCTTCAAGTAATTACATAGGGTCACATGCATTCAACGCAAGGGATTTGAAGTACAGAAAAGGATTCCAGCAGCCTATTAACAAGAAACCTGGATTTACACACAAGAAAGATCTGCGACAAATGTTATCTTTTAAGAATAAGTTTCAAAGAAAACCTGGAGGTATTTTATAAATAATTTTATTATTTCCTTGGTTTTGATAATAAGATAAATTTTATTTTCATTGAATATCATTAGAGATATGCATGGTTAAATAAATCCTTAATATGTAGATAATAATTATGACTCCCTTATTTACCTACTTTGGATTGTTTTCTTAAATTATTTTTATCAACAATTTTGTTTTGGTATTATTATCACTAATCAACTTGGATAGTAATAAATATACATATAAAATAATGAATTATTAAATTTTTCAGGACCTGGTGCTCACATAAACAGTAGCAAATTTGGAAACCATTCTAATGATTTTCAGAACAGAATTGCAAATAAGGTTAGTTTATTTACAATAAAAATTTGTAGAATACATGGTTGGTTTGACAATAAATTTTTCGAATGTGTAAAAGTGCTGTTTTATGGTTTATATGCCAAAATAAATACATTGTTTCAAAAATGCCTCATATTGGCCTTTTTGAAATAAACAACTTGATATTTATAAGGTCAAAGAAGTAATGGAATGTTTATTTTGTCTCAGGATAATAAATGCATGGATTCACAAACACTGGAAGATTCTTCAAAGATTGATGTTACACCTCTGAAGAATTTGGCACCTGTGGATTGCATTTCAGATGATTGGTTCATTGTGATGGATTTGGAAGTTTTACTAAATGAGTTCAAATTCCTTAATACAATAACAGATTCAGGTAATGAAATGGAAATCAAATTATAATAATTCATGTTATTTAATTAGCTTCCTGCACATGACTTTGTTTGCAAATGTTTTTTAAATAATAGGTACTAGCTCTTACCCGCGGCGTCGCTCCCGTCATTTGAATACCTACCCTACATTACAATCTACCTACCCTACCTACCCTACTCTACCTACCCTACTCTACCTACCCTACTCTACCTACCCTACTCTACCTACACTACTCTACCTACACTACTCTACCTACACTACTCTACCTACCCTACTCTTCATACCCTACTCTACCTACCCTACTCTACCTACCCTACTCTACCTACCCTACTCTACCTACCCTACTCTACCTACCCTACTCTACCTACCCTACTCTACATACCCTACTCTACATACCCTACTCTACTTATCCTACTATCTACCTACCCTACCCTACCTACCCTCCTCTACCAACCCTACTCTACCTACCCTACTCTACCTACCCCAAACTACTTACTCTATCCTATGTCCTTCTCCTGGCTCTAAACTACCTCCCTGCCAATTTTCAGCTAAATTGGTTCAGCCTTTCTTGAGTTATAAGTGGAGTAACTAACACGACTTTCTTTTATATAGATATACACCAAGGTTGTGGTGGCTTGTGGCTAAGGCATAACATTTCTAATCATAAGTTTGAAATTGCTAATAGCTTGACCAATTGTGCTAAATAATGCCCAAACCTTCTCCATGCGAGAAGAGGCCTTTGCAGTTCACTTATAGTTTAATGATGATGGCAATCCACCAAGTGCTTCCTCTCTAAAATCATCCTATAATTAAAAAAAACTGCATCAAAATCTGTCACATTGTTGTAACGAAGTAAGCATACATAGACACAGACAGGGGGAAGTGACTTTCTTTAAAACTGTGTAGTGATCATAAATTATTCCATTTAATCGTAAACATAATAATATTTACATGTCTTATGTTATTTCAGATGAAAAATGTCATCTTATGGTTCCAAAAAGGGTTATTGAGGAACTGAAAACCTATGTAACTTGTACAGAGAATATTCAAGCAAGGCGTATTTTACGATTTCTCTCTCAGCAGATTGAGATTGGTTATGCTTTTATGGGTATGTATTGACATAAATTACAACACTAAAAACTGAAATGTAGCTTATTGAACTATTATACTTTCGCGTTTCATGTTTACAACATATTATTAAGCGGGTGTTAACGCGAAAAGTAATTATTTAAATACCTTGGAAGCGTTGACGTTTCGACCAGGTTGCACAGGCCGTGGTCGCAAGCAGACTTATGAACGAAATAATTACTTTTCGCGTAATTATACGATGTAGCTTATTTGTTCCTCATATACAATTTAACTATTTATGTACCTATGGCAGTAAAATCGTGTAACATTTAATAATTTCTAAGATAATTAGGTATTATATAATATAATTATGTATAACAGAGATTAGGTAACCTTTTAATATTCTAGAATAAAAATAGTTTTTACTTTCATTTAGCTGAAAATCCACATGGAGCAGAAAAATTGTCAATGACAGAAGTGATTGATGCAACTTGTACTGAACTTCTGAAAAAGAAATATCACTTTGTAAGTATAGAAATTACATTTTTTCCCGTAAAACAGGGCCCTACATTAACAATCTCTCATGTTTTGTTTTGTTTGTTTTGAATGAAATATTTTATATTTTAGGTCCTACTCACCAACGATAATGAGTTAATGACTAGAACCTCATTGGCGTGTAATATTCACATGTTTACTATAAGCGAAGTCCACAACCTTTTAGGGATTCAACAAAAGAAACAACCGGTATTAACGACTAATGTTCCAAAAACTGTTGTTCCAAAACCAAAATTGTCCGTAAATGAACTCCTGAATAAAATTAAAATTACTGTACCGAACAATTTTCCATCAAATCAAGACACTAGTCCTGACATCGATACTCAATACGTCGATACTATTGAGGAAGATGTAAAAACAAAACCAAGACAAGATGATATAACAGAAGAACCAGTGTTATCGAAACAAACTGTTGATACTGGCATTCAGACAGATTTTGAAGATATCACATCTAATAGCAGTGTTTCAAAAGAAAATGAAGAGTTAAATAGAGTATCGAATAAAATTGATATCAGAAAAGAAGTAGTTATAAGACCTCCTGAGACTTCAGTCGTCGTAAATGTCTCAGATAAAAAGAGAGCAATCAAACTTAAACGCAGTGCATCTAATCAACCACCAGTAAATTCTTACGAAAAGAGGCAATGTAAATGGCGCAGGCGACATACTACTCCTCAACCGAATAAACAAATACCCCCTCATAATAATGAAAATATAAACGATAAAGAATTGGAAGCAAATACTTTGTCTAATGATAACCTCAAAGAACATGAAGAGCCATCCAATGACGATCCTGCATCTGAAAGCACAGACAATAGAGTTATAAATGACAGTGTTGAGAGCAGAGAATCAAGTATTATAGCTTATCCAAGGAATTCTGTAAGCCAAGAAAATGTAACTATCGACGAAACCTCCACATCTGGTATTATATCCAATACTGAGAGCAGTGTTGATGAGCTCAATCTTACGACTTCATCAAATCAAGCACTTCATAGTAAAACCAACGATAATTCCATGTATGGAGTTGAGAGTACAACTATGGAACAATATTTGAAAGTGAAATGTGATGAATGGATATCTAGATTTGTCCAGATTATGGAAGAAGTTTTATCCCAAGTATTACATCAGGATCCGCCATTCTCGAATTCTAAGATGCCACCTCCTTGGACATTACACGAGGCAGCTGTATGTATATCTATCAAGTTCAGTGATTATAAAGTTATTAAGGAGGCAGCTAACAAATTGTCCACGATGATCTTTCGTGTCAGTGATGTGAAAGGTAAGATTTGTTTTGAAACAGTTTTATACAGTCAGCATCTAATATATAGGTACTTTCAGAGTATTAAAAAATAAAGAGGCAACCAAAGCAGAACACAAAGTATTGGTATAGTGAAACAACAAGTAGTATCCAAACATTCGAAATTTAAAAAATGTGTAACGTATCAATTGACTAGTAAAATAAAATGTTTATGATGACAACAGCTAGCATTGTTTGTACTAAATTAATTGTTTACTATAAAAAAAAAACAAAAATGTAAGAGTAGAAGGTACTCTATAATAATGGTACAATTTAATATTTTTCTTTTTACTTATAGGTAACATTTCCTTAAACTTGACTGCGTATCAATATATGCAAATGTATAGCTATGGTATGCAGTTGCTGGGTGCATTAATGGTAAGATTTAAATACAACTTATAATTAAAAAGTCAAAAAGTTAAAAATCATTTATTCCAATTAGACCCTAACAGGCACTGTTGAACGTCAAACAAAATTTTGGAGATGTAGTGTCAGTCTGCCGGTCAGTCCTCCTAGTGAAGCTATTAGCTCGTTCCAAAGTATAGATTCCGATGGAGAAGAACGATGAAGAAACTCCATGGTTACTCTTTTTAAATCAGTTTGACATACAGATTCATTTTAAAGGATATTATTTAAAAATCATATACTATATGCTTCTTATATTGTTGTTCAGGAGGCGGTCTCTAATATTGAAGATATAAAAATTGCTGTGGAATCGTTAAATACGCTACTACACGATATAAAAAATCCTTGCATTGACCATAGTGCAAATGACAGTTTTAATGATAATGCTCACGAAATGTCTTCCAATAATGATGCGATGTCTCATTCAGGTATATCTTTGTTACTTTTTTCTTATTTGGTAGGTTGGCAAACTAGCTCTACTAGGTTGGTTAACCTGATGGTAAGCAATCATCGCTGTGCATGGACACACACAAGACCAAAGGAGTTAAAAAACAAGCTGCCGACATTTTGGGGATTAATTATTATGTTTTCGGCTTACTCACGTAATAATTTGACGAGATACTCGACTTGTTCCAAGCCATGCTAGAGGCCCATATTCATGAGCAGCATTCCGCGACACGCGACGCGGCGGCTGTCGCGCTCAAAGAGTAAGTCGCGCTGCTACTGGCTACTCGAGTCTGAGGGCCCTACGCGCCCTCTGCCGCGATTCACGCGCACTTTCTTCTATCCTTGGCGTCGGCATACAGTATAACTTGAATCTAGTCGAGTATCTCGTCAAATTATTACGTGAGTAAGCCGAAAACATAATAATTAATTTAATTTAGAATGTCTCACGAAAGTTATATTTTGGGGATTGTTTAAAATTTGAGGTTCGTAGAATTGATTGGGGAAATTGCACGGCGAATACAGCGCAAGCGTCGTTTCACGCCAGTTTTCTGATGCCGTTGTAGGTGACACTACGGTCGTACCGGCCCATTCGTGTCGAAGCATAGCTCACCCATCTTTTAAGTTTTTTGAATGTCTATATAGCTATTTAATACTTTAAAATTTTGCAGAATTGCCAGATAATAAAGACGGCGGCTCAGAATACGATCATGAAATGATTGATGATAATGACAATATCGCAGAAATAAATAATAAATCTCCAGTAAAAAGAACATTAGTCCAAGTGAGTATCCCACAAAGTGTTCATTTTAATACTTTTGTAAAGGGAAAACATTTCTTACTTCCGTTTCTTTTTAGGACGAATCACCGAAGCAAGTAAAATTTATTAGAAATTTAAACATAAACCCCTCAATGTTTAAACATTTGAACTTTCCAAAAAGTAATGTAGCAAAAAATAGTTTGACTGACAAGAGTAATTTGCAAAGTGAAGAAAAGACAAATAATTCTAGAGTAGAAGAAATAAATACAGTTGAAACAGCTACCGAGACAATGGAAAAAGAAAATAACGCGCCAACCAGTCAGCCGAGTATTGTGAGGAAATTCACGGCATTTCCAGAGTTGGAGAAAAAATTGCAAATTAGTAATAACCTTTATGAAAATCACGACGAAGAATTGGATTATGACGAGGATGAAGAGTATTTGACAGAGGAGTACTGTTCGGAAGAAGAAACCAATGGCGAGTTACATAGCGATCCCAATAGCAAAACATTTGAAGATGTTGTATCAAATGTTGAAGAAACAGATTCACATGTAGAACGTGACATTTTACAAAGAATCGATGATATTTCTTCATTCAATGAAAACAATAAAAAGTTTAAGTACGCGATGTATATGTTTATCCAAGAAATCAAGGATGCTCTGAGTCAAGTACAAATTTTATGGTGCGTATGACATGTTAGTTCGTATAATGTTAATAGTGATCACTGGGTACTTTATTAGTGATTTCAATCACTGGGTCCACGCCAATTGAGGCGCTAGTGTAGCTTTAGGTCTCTGTCCTATGATTCAGTGGAATATACGTATACGCCAATATACGTCGGCGGTATTGTAGTTATGTACTTTCATAATGAACTTAGCCTTATATTGTGGTTAACGAAAATGAATTAAGGTTTTCTTTTCTTGTTTTATTCAGTGAGAAATGTAACAAAGTATTGGAGAATCCAGATGCATCAACAGAGCTGAGGCTTCAACTGCGATCTAAGGCTGAATCAGCTCGTTTACATATCACACGTTTAAGTAAATCTTTAGAAAGGTAACTATTATTGTTTTATAATCTCCGACACTACCAGTGCGCAAGAGCCTTGCTTCCGCTTGAATGGGGTCGCCCGGAGGTCCGAACCTCACAGTAAACCAGAGGCGTTGTGTTTTTCCTTGTGAGTGAGGTTAAAGGAGGCCAATCCTTTCCCCGTGATCTCCAATGTCCAAATCCCATCCTGAAATCCCTAACATTCGCCATTCACTAAATACTGGAAATATACTTGTAACTACATCAAAAGAGTGTTTGACTTTTGAGAGAGTTTCGACTTTTGGTGTAGCCGGTGGCCTTGGCCGGCGCCGTTTGCTAACCATTAGATAGATTGTTTGCTCATTTACCGACTTGTATACAATAAATATTTACAACAAATATTTTATCCAACTTTATGCTCAATCAGTTGTTGAAATATTTCTCGTATTCTGTTATCACGTGCAAAGTTGATGTTTATTTATTAAATGATTGATACTTTACCTCTATAAAAATAAAGCCCATAGATGTCCATGCTGAATGCCATCATAAGTGACAACATATCATAATAACGTCAGGCTAGCGAAGGATTTGCCTTCAACTCTATTCTTTCTGCGTTCAGTTTTAGACCCGCCCCGGCTTCTCATGGGTGCAATGCTGATACTAAATTTCCCCACTATTTAATGGATGTTATTAAACTTATAACCCTTTTTCTTTAATCACTCTATTTAAAAAAACGGCATCAAAATCCGTTGCTTAGTTTTAAAGATACATATAGAGGGATATAGGGACAGAGAAAGCGACTTTGTTTTATATTATGTAGATTGATATTTAATTTATGTTACAGTATGCTGGATAACGAGACCAACAATTCAAGTCGCAGTATGTCCCAATTATTGGTGCAAGCTGAAGTAAACTTATCTGAGGTGGATACAGAACTACTGTCTAAATACAGGTACATACACATGAATTTTCGACTTTATGGTCAAAGTGATAAAGTTGAAAATCTATTAAAAATAATTTTCATATCAATAACACTCAGGGCTGATTTTTCAATAGTCAGATAAATCTTATCTGAAGAATAAAATTGCTGCTGTCAGCAGCAGCTGACTGCTGACAGCATCACAATTATTCACCCGGTAACTTTTATGAAACCATTGTAAAATCAGCCCTTAGTGTCCTATTTTTTCACATTATAATTTTAAAGGCTGCATGTTCAGTTGCTCATATTTTCTTTCAAAACTTATTTTCTAATATTGTTTCAGGAGTAGTTTATCTAAATGCAAGGAATGTGCTGACGGCTGTCTCAAATCCGCACAAGATATCGTATCTCGCCTAAAGTGTATTTAATGAAAAAAAATAATTTGAATAAGATAAAAGTGTCTGGTACTTCTATGAATTATTTGCTATTGAGATTTCCAAGGGCTCGACGTCCTGGCTCCTGTAAGATGCTAAAACATACTTGGTTTGACATTCCACCGCAAGCATGACAGAGATATTCAAGTATTTAATGTTTTTTAATTCAATTTATGATTTGTACAGACATCTGTAATAAAAACTACCTCAACCACACATTGAAATTTTTATAGATATAGGCTGACGATTTTTTATTCATCAAAACCCCAAGCGAACGCCGGCGTTTGCCCACCTACCTTCTATTGTGTCTCGAATTACCACTATTGAAATGTATTAATAAGGAATATAAGAAAAGATATTGTAGGAATGACGGGGTAATAAAGCTTGTGAAAAATAGCTATTATCATTTCGCGGTCTACTCAATTTCAACCACGAAACAAGTGGTTCAGAAAAAAAATTTTTTTTTCTTAATTTTTATCATATTAGAGAGCATAAAATAACAAGATTTTTCAAAGAACCTTAAATATTCATGGAATTTTATTTCTTTATATGTTGAATGTTGGTTGATTGCTGGGGTCTATTCACTAAATATTAGGTATAAGACATTTCCCTACCTATATTATTATAGGACAAATAAATAGGTAGGTACAATTCCTGTGCCATTTGTTGCATATTTTTTTCTCTTTTATATTTCAGCTATAGTTTAATCGGAATTAAAACCGTATCTAACTATAATTTGCATGTGTACTTCCTTTTGTTTTTTCTTTAGTTTTCTATTAAAACTTTATCTTGAACTGTAAGTTCAATGTTGACTTTTTGAAAATGTAATTGTTAAGATACTTAGATAAATAAGCATGAAATAAAACGTTTATAAAGTAAATATAATGTACTTTTTATTTTATTAGCATTATAAATGTGTGTATTCTCATTATGATCCATGATAGTTAATTGACATCACTATTAATAATTGACTCTAGTTTTCCTTTGAAGGTGCCTGCTGACTTCAGTAGAGCACGGGCGTGAAACATAATACCATTTTGTTATTGTTACGAAGGATCACAAAATGTAGACACAGAATCTTATAAAAACTTGTGCTTGAGAACATAATGCATCGCAGTAAAAATACAACAGGAGCATATCATACCTCATAGCATATCTATATTTCATGTAATGTGTTTAATAATAAGTAAAAATAATGATGGCACTATATTTATATTAGGTTCTTACATAATATTATATTGTGCATCAACCAGGTACTTATAATTTTAGAAACCAGGTCGCATATTTGTGATTAAAACAATAGAAAATACTTTGTTGATGAACAATAGATTCAGGTAATTAAAGTAATAGTTATTTGACTAGGAGAGTACTTAAAACTAGTTGAATCCCCTTCCCTCCATCATTCCTTGTGCACAGTATCGCGGGAACTGTATCACAGAGAGCAAAAAGTCCGTGAGACCCTGCAATAGAAAAAAAGCATGTGAGGTTTATAGTTAGCGCAACAATAAAATTAAAGCTCAGCTCATGAGCAGTGTTAGTAACCTGTAGATATCAGGGTATTAGACATCAAAAGTAGATTTTGAAATCCTTTTTGTATGAAGTTGTCATAGCTACTCATAAGCGGTAGGTTCTCTGTAATATCTTGCTTCTTGTATCTACATCACCCAAAGGTCGTCAACACCTTTCTACATCGCCCAAAGGTTCTGCCAGAGAATGCCTATGGTATTAAGTCCACCTTGTACACAAATGTTTGTGGCAAAGCTTAGATAAATTAAGCTAAACTAATAAGTAACAAATTAAGTAGTTATAAATAATCTTTGAAACATAATTCATTTGGTGAGAAATGAAAATAACTCAAGTCATAACCGTATAATGTAGGTAGATAGGATAGAGGCACTAACCGTTAACGCTTCTATACAGACTGTAAGGGGCAGGATAAGAATATAAATGCCCGCGGCGATGCCAGCTACCCAAAAGGCGATGAATATCAGGATGAGTAGCCAAATTATTGAGAATATGATGTTGCCCATTTTCTGAAAAAGAAAAATATATTGTTAGATAGTTTTGAGCACACAAAGGATTATTTTGTACAGAAATCGCACTACATAGGTGTAATAATAAAATGGTGGCTGGGATTCCAGGGTGATTTTTAGTCAGTAAAGTGACACAGACACTGCCTCTTGGCCCACTGGGGGGGGGATGTAACTAGATGATTGTCCCCCTTTAAAAAACCTACTAGGTACCTATCTTGATCAGTTTAGAGCAGTCGAATTGAATTGAATTGAAAGCTAAGTAGGTACCTATAGTCTAACATTTTATAGGTACTTATAAATGAGACTGGCGTTGCGGATGTTATGAGCGGTGCTGATTTACCCTTTGTTGAATTCTTGATATACTGCTTGTTTCCCGCCAAATAAATTACGTGAATGCTATTACATACATAAGCAGAAATATGCCTACAACCTTTATATAAATGGGTAGGTACCTAGCTACTAGCTACATAACAGTTACGATTTAAGTAATATTACTAATCGTAGAATTACATTATGATTCAGGTTTTAAAAACAAGATTCTTATAAGCAATATTGCCTGTAATGGCTTTTTAATGTATCTGTATTAAATAACCACAAAATATCAGGAAAATAATGACCGCTGTTTAAAGATATGAAGGAAGGTATGTAGATATAGGATTGCCAGTTCACTGTAGGTAATCAGAAGAAGTAAGCTTAGGTATACATAATAATATACTTCTTTCCTGACACAAAATTTCTAGCAGGATTCATTTATAAAATGTATGCAACACTCAAGTCGATAAGCATCTTATCTTTATTAGTAGATCTATGAGTAACGCCTAGTAGATATTTATAATTAGTGATGAAGTTGCTTCGCTGACGATGGATGACCATGGCCCCCTTACTAGCCCATGCCATTTATCAATATGCAAATTAGTGTGCGTTGATTTGTGATTCATGTGATTGATATTCCAAGACGATGACTGATGATTAAATTTTAAACTCTTCCTATGACTGCTACCTTTAATTAGGTACCTACTGCTTGGACTTTTCTACACTACAGACTTCTTAATTATTTTTATGACCAGCATATCTATCTGTCGTTATGGCGCGGGTTCGATTTGCGCACGGAAAAATTAATCGTGAGGCACCTTAAAATTGGTCTGGAGATGTGATTTAAAAGCATAAGGACTGCACAAAGAACAATCATAAACTGAAGCAATATTAAATAAATTCATAGTTGCATAGAAACGACCATGCGTTTCATCTGGTCGTCCGTAATCATCGTTGCTACCCAGTGCTCATGGACACCCTCAACCCCAGAGGAGTTAACAATTGTCTTGACAGAATTTTGGGATATTTAAGGATTTGAGGAAAGGGGATGGGCTGGGAAGGAATGGTCCTCCGGTAACAACAAATCGGAATTAAACCTGTCGTGAGTCCTTGCGTTAACACTTTGGTCCTATATCATTCATCCATTGAAGGTAAACAATAAAATGGCAATTAAGGTAGGTAGGTATAATGCACTTTTATTTAGTCTACTATGGTGTTGATGCCATTTACTTAGAGTGGACTGGCACGATTATCAACGGAAATCCATTTTAGGCGCCTTATCTCATTTGCCCAATATTGATATAACTGACTGGCCTTTGACTACGTATCTACCTATGCGTTTAAACTTAGGTAACACGAAAATTTATGTTGAATTAATGATAACAAACATTGGAATCGAATTGGATATATCATGTCATCCATATTGTTAAGTTGTTTGCGTAATAATTAATCCATTAAATCTTCACGGTCGTCTTTAATTTTAACGATCTTTTATGATGTCAGAAGATGACATCAAACAGAAGTAAAGAGACAATAAAGCGACAACTACACACCATATTATTTTTAGACAACCTAGTTGCATCACTTACAGTTTCAGTCATTACGTACCTACCTCACTAGCCGTTTTTATTCCACCATTTATTAGTGTTTATCTAGAAACTATTCTGATATGATTATACGAGTTCTTAACAATGTTTCATAATCATTCAAAGTGATATAGTTAGCGTCGTTGTTAACACAGAACTGAGTCTAACTCAGTTCTGTGTTAACATCTACTATTAGCAGCTTCGGAAATGAGTACCTCCGGTCTTTTTAGGGTTCCAATCTGAATTGATTTGACCGGATCATAGAACAGGTTAGTTGGCTAATAAATATTTATATTTAAGGATGGTATTTTACTATTCGCTAATTTCGCTCGTCTTTCTGAAATGAGAGGGCTACGGGTGATTCTCCAAAAAACCTTAACTTTTATTTAACAAGTCATTATCCTCCCAGGTTTTTAAGCATCTTAGTAATTTATTTTATACAATATTTGTAATCGGTTGCTTGTAAGCAGTGCTGAGATTTAATTAATTAAAATAATTATCTGTGTTTTAATCAGCAGACTCGTTAATTTTCGGTTGAGGATAATGACATTATTAAATTTTCTTTAATTGATGTGAAGAATCACCCACCTACTGAAATAAGTATAAGTAGGAGAGTGGGTAGGTAAGTTTGTACCTACAGTGCTACTAACGTAGCAGTTAGGCAGATATAGGGCAAGAGCGTGGCACGTGGTACTGTCATTGGATTTCTGATAATGATAACATAAGAGTTCTAATATTTTAATATGTTCTTATATTTTATTTTATTCTTATATATATTTTGTTTTGTACATATTTATAGGTAGGTATGCGAATCAGTGATTCACCTATCGGGTGTTTTAGTCATTCATCCACGCGAGTCACAATAGATATATTTTCTATTGTGTTTTATTATGTACATACCGACATTAAATCAGCTAACGGTGGAAAACCACTTTCTAAACAATTCAATTTAAAACTTCTATCTAGGTTCAGGCTCAATATTTATCTTATTAGAAGAAAATCTATAAAATCCTTACCATTTAAGTATCTCTATCTACATGGCACAACAAACATTTTTTTACTGAGACTGCCAGAAGACGTAGGTAAAACAATTTAAGAACTAAAATTTCCACATCAATCAGA